TGGTTTTTTATGGCCCCCATGACCCCCGCCTGGATCCGCCCTTTAAATTTAATCAGTTCATATCGGTTTTTGTGTATCCGATAGGCGGTGGGCGTATATTTCACGCACAAAATACATTGTAAGGTTGACCCTTTTTATAGTTGTGTAACCGTGCAGTAGAAATTCGTAGGCGATTGGTCAAAACCGGTTCCACCTACAATAAATGGGTGATAAATCCGGGCATACTGGTGGCCAATCAGTGGTCGAAGTTTTGCGTCAAAAAACCGTGTAAACAAATGGTACAGTTCGGAACGCGGCGCTGGGTTTTCGAGGCATTTTTTTTTACAACCGGCTACTAGTCGATTCGTTAACACCACTGGAAATCAAACAACCAAATAGGGGTGTGCATACCATTTATTTTTTGTGCCAAACACCTCTTACATCTAGAAATCTGCAACGGGCTGGAGAAGTCTGGAACACAGTCAACCATGAGGAAGTTGATTGATTGATGGTAAAAGTCCAGGTTTTGCACTCAGGACGGGTTTCTCACAAAAGGCCGCACTCTAAAGTGCGTCAAGTGCAAGCTAAAACCAGCCCAGCGACTCAAACCCGTCCAGAGTCCCGAAAACCCCGTACTTTTACAATGCAGCTAGTTACAAGTGCTCACCTAGCTGCTGACGCTGATGGAAGTCGAAGAACTCACGCTGATTCCAGTAAACACGCTGACACTTGTGAGCTCTTTCAATTGGACGCTTATGGCGGAAACAGCAGACGACGAGCTTCCTAAACGGATGCCGCCCACCAATTGGAACAGAGCTGGAAGCCAAACAGAATCACATAGAATGTTGCAGGCCAATCATCGCGTCTACGCTACCTAGAATCTGAACCTTCAACGTCGACTCTCTGTTGATGATGGCGACGAAGCTGATCTCGCCGCTGGCAACCGCCTCGTAGGCCTCTTTGAGGGCCTTGATGATAGCGCCGATGCCGGAAACAGCCGCCAGGGTGCTGTACAAGTTGCCAGTCAACAGCCCTAAAATCAGGTTACCCGCACCGCTGAGCAGGCTCTTAAGAGGGCTTCCTGATCCCGAGGCGCTGATGCTGATCCCCAGCGAGTTCAACAGCCAGACCTGCGATGAAGAAGCCACTAAAACGCGCTGCCCAGGACAGTTCAGATCCATACCCCAAGGGCAGTGTGGAGGTTCAAAATCAACAGCAACACAAGGGCGGCGATGGCGGTGTTCAGTTTCACAATGGCGGTTAAGTGCAGCAGCACCGAAACAATCAGTTGCAGCGGCTTGGAGCGCTGCAAAGCCACGCCGGAGGCCAGTTTTAGGATGATCGCCCCAATGTTCACGCTCTCTGAAAGAACGTGGGTGGTGAAACAGGCCAAGCAGCGCAAATTTGTACTCACTGTAGACCCAGCTGCCTGCCACCAAGCCGCTGATGATCACCACCAGCTCACTGAGCTCGGATGAGCCCTTCACCCGTTCAATCACCAACAGCAAGCCGCGCAGCGACTCTCTCAAGCCTACGGTCAGGTCAGCTTGGATGGTGCGATTGGAATTGGCCACAAACAGCACAAGAACCTGCAGGAAGGTCTCCAATTTGATGCTGCCTTGCGCCAGGGCAACTAGGTTGGCCAGCACCTGCAGCAAATGGAGGCAATTCCACCTCAACCTCACCCTCACAGTGTATATCTCACGGTTAAAAGCCCGTTGGTTCCAACGGTGCTGTTGCCTCCCAGTTGCGCGATCAGCTGCAGAGCGCTCTCAGCGCTGCTGAGGAGACTCGATACGGCGCTAATTTTAATGGCCAGCAGAAGATCAGCGAGCAGAATGAGACCATTGCGCGCCTGCAGGAGGTTGGCCCAGCTCAAGTTCACACCTGCCTCGATCAGCGCCTCCAGAGACCCTGAACAAGAGCGCTTCAGCTCCAGTGCGCTGCTTTAACTTGCTGGCACTTACCGTAGGCTTTGGCGATGATAGTTTCTATGCCACGCAGAGTGTTGAGGAGGGCGGCGATGTCCAAGGAGATGCTAATCTCGGACTCAATAAGCTGAAAAAAATTTAGTTTCGCTCCGCCCAGATCTGTGGCTTAAACGGACTCACTGCAAGCAGCCCGCGCAAGTTCCCGTTCAGCAGCTTGATGATTCCGCCGCTGATGGAGAGCACGATCTGCAATCCCACCAAAACGTCTTGCGATATGGCAAGCCCAATGTTGATCACCAGCCGCGAGATGATGAGGTTAATTTCAGTTAGGATGGCCGTTGAGACGGACTTTAGGCTGAATGAGACAGCTGCAAGAACAGGCCCTTAACGTCCAGGGAACGGGCGCTCGCCTCAGAAACTCACCGCCAGAAACGGCGAAGATGCTCTGCAGACCTCCCGACAGGCTTCTGATGTAAACGTCGATGGTGGCTTTGGAGGCGAGCCAGAGGCCACTGGATACGTAAACTCCCGTTTGGGAGGTCAGGTTTAAGGCCACTCCGGATCCGGTGGTTCCGTTCAATAACACGACAATCTCGCTGGACGCGTTTATTAGCAGGGCGGCGTTGGCGGAGAGGTTGGCCAAAACCAGTACCTGATCCACCACCTGGATGGTGATTCCCAACGTCACGTTCACGGATTCACTGGCGGTGCAAGTCTAAAAAACACTGTCAGTCTAAAAGGGCGAAAGTGCCTACTTAGAAGGGACGATTGCTTACCAACTGGCAGATTTCTGGAGATGCGGCCCTTTCAAGCCCCCTGGCGAAACGAGAGCTAACTGGCGCCACGCCCTTAGCTCTCAGTTCTGAAAAGATCAACTAATCACCTGCGATTCGTTAAAGCAGTGGGGCTTACCATGGGCGAAGGTGCTGGCCAGCAGGGCACAAAACAAAACCGAATATGCCTTTTGGTTCATCTTCGATTTTGTTGTGATTTTTGATCGTGCATCGGACCATCATTTATAGTCAGCGGCACGTTATCGGAAAATTCGTCAGGAATTTCGACGCGCATTTGGAAAAAATGTGCCACAATCGGCGAATTCCTCAAAACGCATTTTTCGAATCGCGACTCTGTCTAATTGACTTGAGGGGCCGAAGCGTTCGGCTATTTTCCTGCTGTTTTTTGCGCGCATTTGGAAGGCTGGTTGTTACCAGGTGAGGGCTTTAATTGGGATTTTAGTTCAATCCAGCCCAAGCCAACCAATGGCTTTGATTGGGTCCAATCATTCCCTCAATCGACGTGTTTATTATTATTATCTCGATCATCAATGGCCCATGTATGCTAATGAGGCACGTTGCAAGGCTAAATTGTTGCCATTCCATTGGTGCGGTTCGTTGGTAATCGGGTTTAGGGTATTTTAGTCGGCGATAACACAAATTACTGCTGTACTAGTTTGATTTTTCGTCATTTCACTTTCCAGCTTTGAAGCAGGCCAAAAGTTTCATTTGTGTTCGAATCTCGCAAGTTATAGAGGAATTGACGAATTCGGCCCAACTGCGCCGAAATAATCATTGGTCTCCTAGGCCTGGGTAATACTGTGTTTTAAGACACTTGTGTGTTGAGTGACCCTCTCGGCAGAGATTATTTACGATATAAAGCCGCACGAACGAAAGTGCTCAAAATACTTGTCTGCTGACTAGCTACTACTGCTAGCATGTTTTGCAATGAGTTCAAT